AAAAGTTAATATATACAGTTAGAATAAAACTAGTAAACTAAGCTAGATGGGAGTGGCGCATGCCTTTAATCCCAGCACTCAGAAGGCAGAGGCAGGCAAATTTCTGAGTTCAAGGCCAGCCTGGTCTATAAATCAAGGCCCAGGACAGCCAGGGATACACAGAACCCTGTCTCAAAAAAAAAATATGCTAGTATAAAAACCCAATTGTGTCATTTTCTACTGAAAACCCTCTCACAGCTTCCCGTAAGACTACGGTGACCTCTCTCCATTCCGCATCACAGACCCCTTTCCACAGCCCACTGAGTTCCTGGTCTTCTACCTGTCCTGAGTCCCACTCATGCCAAGCTCATCCTTTCCTCTGAGCCTTTGCATTGGATCTTCCCATTGTTTTTGAGGGTAGGGGAGTGTTTTGATGCAAATAGCTTCATAGTGCAGTGCAAGAGCTGGACAGCTCTTTCTCTGTAGCCAAGGCTGGCTTGAACTTGCCATATAGATCTAGCTTGCCTGGCTCTGCCCTCTCCAGCTATCTTAGTTACTTCTTGGTTGCTGTGATAAAATACCTTGATAAAAGCAATTTACGAAGTTATCTGGGCTTGTGGCTCAAGGGCCTGCCCTGGTAGCAGGGTTTGAGGAAGCAGGTAGACAAACTGCATTTTCTGGCCCTCAGTTTACTTTCTCCTTTCTATGCAGTCCAGGACCATAGCTGAGGGAATGGTGCTACCCACTTTCAGGATGTGTTATCCCACCTCACTTAGCATAATCCAGATAATCCTTCACTGATGTGCTTGGAGGCAGTCATTGTTAACACATACAAAACTTATTAATATCTCACACTCGTGTTTTATTGCCCCCGTGGCACTTATCCAAAATTCATCTTTGTTCATTTTATTTCCATCACTGGATTATGAGGCCCATTAGAGTTAAGAGTAGGTCAGGACAAGGCACACTGAAGCCAGCCAACAAATGGATGCTGAATGACAGTGCAAACTGCAGTCACCTGACCAGGGAAGGGGAAGAAACACACCAAGACGCATCACAAGCTGTCCTTTACAAGTGGCACGCACACACACCCTCACTGGTAATTCTTGCAAAGTCAAAGGATTAACATTGTAACTACAGTAATGTTGACACCAGAAAATGCCAGAAACTCTGCTGGGTGCAAGAGAGGGTTTGCTTCGTTCAGAGACACAGTATTTTGAGCCTATCTGTCTGCCTTAGGGTCGTCCAATCATACTGTGTTCCAAGAACGACACTGAGAGTTGCAAGTTTGCATATAAAACCATCGAACTGCCCCACACGGTTGACTGTCTCCAGGGCATCCTGAGTGTGATTCCTCTCCAGCTTCTGTCCTTCCACCTGGCTGTCCTCCGAGGCTATGATGTAAGTCTGCAATTTGCATACGCACAGCAAAAAGGAACAGAAAGCTAAATCTGTTTTATATCAATGCATTTTTATATTTATTTATCGAGTCAGGGGGGCGTGCGCCACCACCGTGTGATGCATTTTGATTTTTTATTGACATTTGTGTAAATTTATGGGGCACAGGGTACCATTCTAATGCATAGATATATAGAGTTTATAATGGCAAAGTTGCTTTTTTGTTTTTTAAATGCTTATTTTAATTAAATATTCATTGGAGAAATAATGTCATTTAAAGTAACTTTCATTTTAAGGTTGTTTAGATTCCTCAAGAACTGCATATAAAAAATACATAAATAAATAAACAAACAAATCATCATCCATAGGCACTGTTGATCAATCTGGTTAATATTTCATTCAATTCTTTCTCCTGTACATGCAAATTTTAAAAACCATTTTTTTCAAGCCAGGTCTGAGGGAGAATACTTGGAAGACCAACACTCAGGAGGCAAAGGCAGGGAAATTACAAATTTGAGGCAGCCAGTGCTGTATAGCAGCACAAATACAAAAAGAAAAACCAAACAAAAACTTTAATATTGTATCAAAGTTAGAATTCTGTTTCTTCCTTGTACTATTTATATTAAGTTTTTTCATCTTTATGAACTTATTATGTACAACATTTAATTGCTGCATAGTATTCCATCAAAATCTTTTACTTTAAAATTTTTATTTATGTATCTTTGTTTTGAGGGCATGCAGTGCCCCTCAGAAGCCCAAAGAGGGAGTCATACCCCTGTGGAACTAACATCCAGGTACTTGTGAGCCACTGGTGTGAGAATCTAACTAACTCCCATGCTTCTGCAGAGCAAAGTACCCTAACCACTGAGGCACCTCTGCGGCTGCCATTGGAAGTTATAGCAAGATTTTCTGAACAATTACTTAACTAGTCTGCTGTTTCCAATATTTCATTTTATGAATAACACTGCAGTGAGCATGTTTGTATGTACAACTTTGTCCCACATTTAAGATTTGTCATTGTGGAGAAAATGATTTGACATTTTGAGACTGATGGCATCAACATTATGCCCCAGGAAAGAACACAATTCACTGTGTAGAAAAGTAGATGCTGTGTTACAGGTTTGGTTTGGTTTGGTTTTTGGTTTTTCAGAGACAGGGTTTCTATGGCGGCCCTGGCTGTCGTGGAACTCACTCGGTAAGCCAGGCTGCCCTTGAGCTCACAGAGACCTGTCTCTGCCTCCTAAGTGCTGGGCTTAAAGGTGAGTGTCACCACTGCGCAGCTATAATTTTATTTTGAGAAGCTTATAAACTGTAACAATACAAAGAACAATATCCCAGGCATCTAAATGTATATCATCTAATTGACACTTGATAACTTTTTGTTGTATTTTTTCATTTTTCTTAGCATATAAATAAAATACCTTTTTGTAGACTAAGTAGAATCTCACATTATTACCCATCCCCAATCATACTTCCTTCTCATTTTTTACCCAAAGTAACAAGTATTAAGAAATTCATGCATATCCTTCCAAAAATGTGAATATTTTTTCATTAATTAATTTTTCCAGTGCTGGTGGTCAAACGAAGTCTTACAGAGGCTGTGCAGACATGCTATTGAGTTATACTCCTAATCCTAAAAAATAATTTTTTCCAGAGTTTCTCTGTGTAGCTTTGTAGGCCAGGCTGACCTTGAACTCATAGAGATCTGCCTGCCTCTGCCTCCAGAGTGCTGGGATCAAAGGCATGTGCCACCACCACCTGGCCATAAAATAATTTGCTTGTTCTTTTTGCTTTTTGCTGTAGCTTTGCATGAGAGAGAGAGAGAGAGAGAGAGAGAGAGAGAGAGAGAGAGAGAGAGAGAGAGAGAGAGAGAGAGAGAGAGAGAGAGAGAATATGTCTGTGTCTGTGTGGTTTTGTGTACATGATTGCAGGTGACAGCAGATCTCTTGGACCTGGAGTTCCAGGCAGTTGTGAGACACCTGATATAGGCACTAAAATAGAACTTGGGCCCTCTGGAAGACTAGTATGAACTGTTACCCATTGGGCTATCTCCAGCCCCTGCTTGTTCATTTTGATAGGCTCTTGCTATGTAGCCCAAGCTGGCCTTGGACTTGTCTGCCTCAGCTTCCTGAGTACTGAGATTATAAGAGAGCACCACCATACCTGTAACTGAAGAATGACTTTTTAAGAGCACCCACCAAGATACCCATTGTAAAACATATGGGTTACACAACAGGACACATGCTAAGTCATGACAAATGTTTACAGAATGAAGTAAATGCTTTACAGTTAAAAGAACCTTTATGCAATAAATAATCCACTTTCAAAAAGGGGGTGTTCAGGTAGATTATTGTCAGAGGAGACTGGAAGAAAAACATCATGTTACTGGCACCTGTGAGATACTGAACAAATTGCTGGCCTTGAACGTCTGAACCTCCTGCCTCCCAAGTCTGTGTACCCCCATCCTGTTTTACGAGGCGCTGGGGATGAAACCCATATCTTGGTGCATGCTAAACAAGGACTCTATCAACCAAGCTTCATCCTTTGTCTTCCCACCTTTCTTTTTAGGTTGACTTTCCCAGAAACCTAGCCAAGTCTGTCACTGTGGAATGAGAACAGGATGTCCATGACGAGACCATCGTCACCTGCAGTCTGATCCCAGACCTGAACCAACTGCAGAGGAGCCACGTGGGAAGAGAAGCGACCTTCCCTCTGTGGGTCCCTCGTGCTCCCAGTAGAGCTTGACAGCTTTGATGTGCCTTGTACCCAAGTGCTTTGCTTACAGCAAATGCTGTTTCTCTGTGTCCTGAAGTCACTGAGGAGAAGAAATTGTTTACACACGGGGATTGGAGCAGACTTTCCACTACAGTGCAATAGAGATACCGCTCTCTTTGGAGTAACTGTGAACCTTTTTTAACCAACACTAGCTAGTTTTAAAAGATGAAATATTTATAATGATGATTGTATAGCTTTTAAGTTATTTTTCTAGTATGTGGCTTTCTGTAGCCATGGAAATGCCCAGACTGTGCATCTGGGCTACCCAGTGTGCTGTCTCTGGGCTCACTCCTGGCGAGTGTCATTCATCTCAGTTTTGGGCACAAGGCATGAGCCCTTTATCTCTTTTTTCCTTTGCTTCCCTCCATAAGCTGCTCCTGATTTTCGTCCCCTGACATCAGTGAGTTCCCTCCGACCTCTTCCTAAGTCTCCTTTGAGCTCAATTAAAGTCTCTACTTCCTTCAGTATTTCAATATTCTCAGATGGGCTCAAATGCCTCCACTCTCTGACTTCTGCTTAATTATATCATGGTTCTTTTTAAGCCCAGGCAGCACTTTGGTCCCTGCTCCCTACTTATAGTAAACCAGCCTGAAGTGCCCCATGTAAGACGGTTTCGAGGGAGCTACCCTGCTCTATTTAAATGCGTGCACAATCAATGTACTATGCAATTTTATAATAAAGACAGTGCAACTTTTTTTTCATCCTGTTTATTTGATTTGATTAATTTCATTTTCTGAGGGTCTGAGCAGTGTCTAATGGGAACATTGCTCTGGAGGCGGAGAAATCCAAGATAGAGGTACTGGCTGCTTTGATATGTGGGAGAGTCTGCTTCTTGCTTCCCACCAGAACATCTCTCTGTATCTTCTCACTGTGGAAGAGGCTCGTGAGCTTCCCAGGGCTTCTTTTAAAGAGCACTGATTCCATCCATAAAAGCTTCACCTTCGTGATCCAATCACCCTATAGAGGCCTGACTTCGTTTATGTGTGCATGCTTGTATATGCATGTTCATAAGTGTGTGGGAGCACATGTATGTGTGTGTGCAGCTGTCTATGCATGTTCATAAATGTGTGGGAGCATGTGCATATGTGTGTGCAGAGATTGACACTGGGTATCTTTCTGGGTTGCTATCTACTTTCTTTGCTGAGGCAGGATCTCTTTCTGAGCCCAGAGTTTGCTGGTTTAGCTAGTCTAGCTATCTCTACTTCCTAAGTGCTGGGGTTGCAAGCAGGCCACCACACCATTCTGGCTTTTATGTGGGTGCTGGGAATCTAAACGTTGGCTCATCATGCTTGCTCAGCAAGTGCTGAATCCACTGAGCCACCTCCACACCCAGACTCCTCCTTCATTACCAGCACATGGGGGTTAAGGCTATAAACATTGGTTTGGGGGAGAGATGCAAATCCAATAGACCATGGAAAGAGGTAAATTTTTGAGAACTTAATAGATGAGGAAAGTATTATTCACACTTCAGTGAAGATTTGTCTGATATAGACTTTGAAGTCAGGAAATAACGATTCTTAGAATCTTCCATTCTCATGTTCTTTGTATTGTTATTGAGTTCAAATCACGCTGATACGTCTTTGTCGGTGGCCTTTTGCTGCTTGTTCTTTTTGCTTCTGGTGTCCTCAAATGCTGCAGTGTGATCCCTTGGGTCTCTTCATTAGATGTTAAGTTCAGTCAAGCAATGCATCCTCTTCAGGTCTGGGAGAAAAAGGGATTTTTTAAAATGTGTAAGTCCATGTGCACCACTTGCATGCCTGGTGACTATGATGACCAGAAGAAGGTGACAGATCCCCTGTAACTGTAGTTACACAAGGTTATGTGGGTACTCAGAATCAAACCCAGATCCTTTGGAAGAGCATCCAATGCTCGTAACCACTGAACCATGTCTCTAGCCCCAGGGTTCTGAGAAATATTGAACTACTCTGTTACAGAGTTATGTTTCCTTTCCCTGGCCTTTCTGAAATGCAATTCCAGATTCAGAGCTTGAAGCTTTTAGATGGCATGGGTCCGAGCATTCTTTCCTACCCGCAATCTTGTCTTTTAGTTCAACTAGTTAGGAAACTGGCGCAGTCTTCCCTCCCTAACTATGTCTACTTCCCTATCCACAACCAACCTATCTGCTAGTAAATTACATCAAGTGTTAAGGGGCACAGGTGGGGATTTTTCAGGATGTCCACCAGTTGTGTTTGTCTGGTCTTTTCCTCATGGTTGGAAAGGGTGTATGGAGCTGGGGGAGGACGGATAACATTCTCCTCACTTCACTTCCAGTACACAAACTACTGGCCCTCTGGTGTTAACCTTGATCTGATTATTAACCTCCCCGAGGCAGTCAGTGCCAGATTTTGCCTCTGCAAAGATACTGTGTCAGATGTTATTTGCGGAGATTCTAGCTCTGGCTGCTGGGAGCTGTTTGAGTTGACCTCTGTGTTTCTGACACACCCCCAGCATTCTGGGTCTGTCTCTGTGTGTTTTATAAGTACTTCGTGGTTTACACTACACTAAACTCCAGGTTCAACTTACACATTTGCTAACCAGTCCCGATCTACCATATGTAGTGGCTCCTGTCAGAGAATTCAGAAGCAAAGACCCGAGCTTTGGGTGTGCTGTCTGCTATTGGGATGTCATCACTTCTAGGCCACTTCATCTGAGACCAAGAACATGCATGAGTATTCAGAATTGCTTCTGAACGACTGGTTCTTGTCTCAAGTGTGTGATATATTTTCAGTCCCTCTGAAGCCAACAATAATATTTTTTTCTTTTGGAATTTATTCTCTGCCTGGTCTCTCTATGTGTGATAAGATTCAGTTTTCTGTTTGACTGTACTACTATTCTCTTCCATAAGACTTTGGACTATCTTGCCCAGGTTTAAGGTAGGCTGATTAGAAGTTTTGTGGACACATATTTTAAAATGGACATTCACTGCTAGGAACCCCAAGGTTCCTCTTAGAACTTGTCAGACTTCCAGAAAAGCTGTTTGGTCTCCAGCTGGGAGTCAGGGCCCAGATGGTGGCACTCTGGAAGATGCCTAGAGACAGAGGGCTGAGGGCCACAGAGTCAGTCTCCAGTTACACAGTCCTGAGGTTATCAGACAATAGATCCCTAGGCTACTACCTTTTCCAGCTATTCAGTCTACCCACTTGTGTTGCCATGTGAGCCCGCATCTAACCCTGATTGGCACATGTGTAGAAGCTACGAGAAGGGCAGTTCACTGAGTCTTTTACTTTGAGTTTCCAAGGCAGAGGGTTCTTGCTCTGGAATGGTAGGAGAGCAGAGTGGAACACAGGTGGCAGGCATCCCACAGCGAGACAAAGATGCTGACCCAGGGAGAAGCAGGATGCGATGAGGACCCCTGGCTTCTTCATCCCTGGCTCCTGAGCAGATGGCTGCGGAGGCAGGCTCCATCCTGGCTTTCACCACAGTGCACAGAGCAAGAGCAACCCAGTACATGTCCTGCTGTGGTTCCGACGGGACGTGAGTGACCCCTGGGGCTACTGTGAGGCATGGAGAGGTGGAAAGTTATTTCAGGAATGGTGTTCAGAGGTGAGGGCTTAGGGAAATGAGTGGGATTGCATAAGGCCAGTAGGATTAGAAAAGACTTCTGGTGGTTTTATGAGGAAAAAGATCAGGCAGGCACACATATACAAGTATACCGTCTCCGTCTCATACAATATGGTGCCCTGAACTGCCTTGAGATTTTGCCAGCAAGAAAGTCATAACCAGATAAGGTCTCTCCACCTAAACAGAACTTTCTCTCTTTGTCTCGTGTGTGTGTGTGGGTGGGTGTGCGCGCGCACGCTCGTCTGTCTGTCTGCATCTGTGTGTGTCTCTCTCTGTTTCTGTCTCTTTCTCTCTATATATGTATGTGGTCTCCAACCAGAAGTCAACTTTGTCTGTCTGTCTGCATCTGTGTCTCTGTCTCTCTCTGTTTCTGTCTCTTTCTCTCTATATATGTATGTGGTCTCCAACCAGAAGTCAACTTTGTCTGTCTGTCTGCATCTGTGTCTCTGTCTCTCTCTGTTTCTGTCTCTTTCTCTCTGTATATGTATGTGGTCTCCAACCAGAAGTCAACTTTGGATGCCATTCCTCCTTAGGCACCATCCATCTTGCATTTTTGAGACAAGACATTTTGTTGGAACCTCAGGATCACAATTAGGGTAGGCTGCCTGGGCAGAGAGCCCTGAGAATCTTCGTGTCTCTGCCTCCCAAGGTCTAAGATTATAAGTAGAAGTCAGCCGGCCCAGCTTTTAAAATGTGGGCTCTGCGGGACTGAATTCTGGTCTTCCTTTGAATTATCACTCACCTCCCTCTCATCATTGTGGTAAGGTAATGGGCAGGAACAACTGAGGGGAGATTTCCTTTGTGCATGGTTTCAGAGACTCACTCCACCCTGGCAGGAGGGACATGGAGGAACAGACAGTTCATATCATAGCACTTGGGCACCATCAGGGACCCCCATTCACACTCACGGTGTGTGATCTTCCTTTAGACAGTCATTGGCAGTAGTCTCAAAAACATGTGGATGTGTACTTTAGCAATTTCCCAGTCACGTCTTAATCTAGTGAAATTCATGATAACAACCATCACAGTAGGCAAGGGTTCTACCACCGAGCCAAAGTCTCTGGTTCCAGGTTTGTTTATAAAGTACCCTGCCTCTGGTATTTTGCCCCTTCTTCCCTCTCCCTCCCTCTCTCTGTCTCTCTGTCTCTGTCTGTCTGTCTGTCTGTCTGTCTCTCTCTCTCTCTCTCTCTCTCTCTCTCTCTCTCAGGGACAACACTTGTCCCTGATCACCCTCACCCCACCCCACCCCACACACAAAACACAGTTGAAACAGCCTTCCGTTAGATTCATCAGCACTGCTAACAGTTGGGGAGAAGAAAAATGTTTGAGAGGAGTAGGGAGGGAGGAGAGGGAGACAGAGGAAGCCAGCAGCAGAAGTGTTCTCAGGCCTCTATTATCTGGGCATCCCCAATAGGCTGTCCTTACAACATTTACTATTTCCCACAGAACTAGCCCTGCAGGAGCTAACCCCCTGCCCAAGAAAGCATTGCTGTATGCAGAGTTAGACTGGAACACAGGCCAAGGAAACCTATCAGTCCAGAGGCTGCATGGGCAGCAGCCTCTGGACAAATTCTTGTTATCCCAACACCCCCAGCCCAGGACGCAGGCCTTCTGTGCTCTTTCCTTCCTGGCAAAGAGGTCAGTGTGGGACACAGAAGTGGATGGTGTCCGTCTGCCGTAGCATCAAGGAGTAGGTAGAGCCTAGAGTCATGGCAGAAGAAAGGAAAGTCATAGAAGGGTGAAATGGGATTGCTGGATGTTCAGTGTGTCTCTAGCTTTATCCAAAACTGCTGTACTATTTTGCAAAATATTGTATAATCTTGCTTTCCACCAGCAGGACATGAGTGCTCCAACTGCTTCATGTCACTGCCAACACTTGGTATTAAATTTTAGTCCCAGTGGATATGTAGTGATAGCTCATCCCAGATGGATTTATATTTTCCTAAAGTCTCGAAGCAGTTTTAAAGTCAATTCCTTCCTCTTGGTCCCTGCTACCACAGCCCTAGCCCAGGCTTCAGTTTCTCAAAATGGCCTTTGCCCTAGCTCTTGACTAATCTTGTGGCCTTAAGCCCATCATTCTTCAAATCTTACAAGTTCCAGTGCTCTTTCTAAAATACACACTGAATCACACCACTCACCTCCTTTCTTCACACCCTCAACGGCTGCCCTTTACTTCCTTAGCCAGGTTCCCACCTTCCGCTGCAAAGGCCACCAGGTAAGGGTGAAGCTGCTGCAAGGTGGGACCACAGGAAGAAAAGGGTGGGGGAAGCCGGAGCCTCGCCTGGATGGTAGCTTGCACCCAGTTCCTCATGACCACCATGACCACTGCCCTTTATAAAGAGAACCCAACAATGGAGTTTTGTCTCTTTTGTTTTTGTTTTGGAAATCCTCTCAATTTTTTAGATGATGCAATTATGTAAAAAAAAACCAACCCACCAACCAAACAAACAAAAAACCCAACCACCTATCCAAACCACTTTGGTTCAACAAGGCATAGCAGTGAGCTGAAGGCAGCCTGTGTGCCACTGATCAGGAAAGCCAGCCCATCCCAGGATTATATTACTCCAATCTCCTTACCTCCCTCTCCTGCCAGTACAGGTGGCTGTGGCTACCTGAGCACAGCACACCTATCCTTCTCCTTTCCAAGCATTTGGCCCAAAGGTGTTTCTAAGTCTCAGATCCAGCACTTTCCTTTGGTTTTCCAGGCTCAGTAAGGGCTTACTTCTGCCAAGAGTCCTCACATCACTGTGTCTCCCTGCCTGGTCAGGGTGATCAGGTGTCAGCATCCATATATGGAGTTCACACCACACTTTGGACAGCATCTTTTCACTTGCAGGCGTCCACCAGGATCTTTGTACTCCTTCAAAGCATGGACCAGCATTGTCCCACCCCACCCCACCCTGTCATTGTCACCTCTGTTCTGCATCTGTATGCCCACCAGTATTTGCTAAGTCAGAAAAAAAGAGTGGTGTCTGTAGAATGAACAGAATCCTTATGGAAAACTTAGTGGGTAAACATATGCACGATGATTTTGGTTACTTGCTTGGCTACAAAACAAGTCTTGGATTTCTGGGAATTGGAGGTCCATTCCAGTAAAAGGAAGAGCACTGGTTATTGCTCTTTAGTGAAACTGCAACTATGACAGCCAGGCTGTACTGGTTTTTAATAACGCCAATCATTGGCTCTGTTTTCTTTGGTGGTTCTTGTGGTGATATTTTATTTATGATAAAACAAATAAAGCTTGCCTGAAGATCAGAGTGCAAAGCTAGCCATACTAGTCAGTCATACATGTCAGGCAGTAGTGACACACACCTTTAATCCCAGCACTAGAGAGGAATATAAGGTGGGTGGAGACAGGAGTGCAGCTTATTCAGTCTGCAGTCACAATGAGGACAGGATCGCCCCCGCCTTGGTAGAGGTAAGAACTCTCTAGTGGTTGGCTGATCTTCAGTTTGAACCCCAATATCTGTTTCTGGGTTCTTATTATTCCTGCTACATGTCTGACAGCAGGTCACAGGCAAAGCTGAGGTGAAGACAGGTGTGGACAGAAGCCCACAAGATGAGCCTTTCTCCATGCAGCACACTCAGGAGGTATCGAGCTTTTAAACAGGAATAAACCATACTCCCTCTGGTGACCAGGGTGGGGTGGTTGGGTTTTTGTCAACACGACCTAGTCATATCTGGGAAGAGAGAATCTTAAGTGAGAAAATGCCTCTGTAAGATTGACCTATAGGCAAGTCTGCGGGAGCATTTTCTTCATCAATGATGGATGTAGGGGGCCCAGCCATCCCTAATCAGGTGACTGGGGTGAGTTCTGTTCATCACGGCCCCTGCTTCAGTCCCTGCCTTGAGTTGCTTACGTCCTTCAGTGATGGAGTGTGACCTCAGAGTTGTAAGCTGAAATAAACCCTTTCCTCCCCCAAGCTGCTTTGTCACAGCAACAGAAAAGCAGAAGAAGATAGGAACACCTTAACTGACTGGATCCCTTTCTCCATCCCGCTGCTCCTCTGAGGCCAAAGCCTCCAACACCCTGGCTCAGTACTTGAAACCTGAGTCACGGGATTGCAACTCTTCAAATTCTGCTGAAATCCATGGGGCCTCCTAGTCTCTTGGCCTGCTTTATGCAGGGTACTGCTCCCTGGAGACTCTTGGCATCCCGTGATTACAGCTCTACCACCATAGTCACCACTCTTCAACCTCTGTCTCCATTTTTCCAATCCCTTAACGGGCAGCCCTCAGCCTATCCTGTTTATAGTTCTCCGAGCTTTCCCCAAGGGTCCAACCTCCCTGTCTAACTTGCAGCCTTTCTATCAAAACACATAGTGGTCAGCACCCCAAACTCTGTGCTCTCCAACTCTTATACAACCTCAGACCTGCTGGAACCTATCTGAGAGCCTAAGTGCTGCAGGGGAGGTGACAAAAACAGCAGTGTTAAAGACACTATTCATCGTTGAATGCCCTCCTGGCCCCTCTACACCGAAACAAAAGTTTGTCCTTTACAAGACTTCCTGTCTAGGCTGAACCCCACCACTGATTCACCAGAGTCACGGTCACCGTCTCCCCAACCCCCACTCTCTGGACATGTGGCCGCACCCCTGTTACAAGCCCATTCAATGTGGCATGCGCACGCCGCGCACCAGCCTTAACGAGCAACAGGCCCTAAGACCCGGCGCTTCTCCTCCCTCCTCCGGTGCCGCTACACTCCAGGTTCCTGGATGCCAAGGCCTTACTCCTGTCCCGGGCTCTGTCTAATCAGGCCTATTCCCGTCTTTTTCCAGGCCGCCTTGCCGCCACTTGCACCTGCTGTCACCGAGGACTGACTACCGCTCTTACGCTGTAGCAAAGACACGCCTCGCCCCTCCTCGGTTCCCATTCCCCTTGGTCCACTCTCGGGCGCATGCGGATCTCCTGGCTCTGGAGGGCTGGCTCAGGAGAGGGTCTTAGGTTGGCCAGGATCCCTAGCCTGCTGCGCACACTGGCGGACCGGCTTGCAACAAGCAGCCGGCGGGGCCCGGGAGCAGCCTAGGGGGCGCCGCTCGGCACTCGGGAACCCAGTCTTCAGTGGCCCCGCCCACACCGAGCCTACAGCCACGCCCGTACTGCCCAGCCTCGGCCCGCCCCCCTGTCGCGATTGGCCCCGCCTGCCAGGCTCTCCTTGCTCTGATTGGTTGGTCTGAGAATCCGTCAGGCCGAGCGCCTCGGCGGCGGCGGCAGTAGCAGCAGCAGCGGAGCAGAAGGGAACCGGACCGGAAGGGTCGCAGCGCCCCGGGCCCCTCACACCCACTGCGGCGGCGACGGGGTGGAGCGGAGCGGGGCGGGGCGGCTGGGTTCTGCCGCGGAGCCGGGAGCCGCCAGAACGCATCGCCGCCTGCGTGCCCTCCCTCTGCCTCCGGCGCGGCGGCGCGGAGCCGAGGTGAGCCCGGCGGGCGGCTAGGCCTGGCGGGGCTGCTCGGGCCGCGCCGGGCCTGGGTTGCGGGGCGCGGGGCATGGGTTGCTTAGTACCTCCCGGTAATCCACGGTGCCGCAGTCGCCCACTCCCGCCCGGTGTCTGCAGCCCCGGGCTGCAGCCCCGCTGTCTGGCCCGGCCCCAGTAGACCTGCCCGCAGGGGTCTGTGGGCGCCTTCCCTCCAGCTGTGAGACACGCAGCTGTACCTCGCCGCATGCCCAGGAGCCCGAGCTCTGGTCCCCGCGACCTTGGCGGCGACTCTCACCCTCACCGGCCCTCTGTTTCCCCCCCTTGGAGAAGTGATAGAATATCTCCGGTTTGGTCGGGGCTGTTATCAGGCAGTGAGTGTGACTGTCTCTAAGCGCTGGGGCAGAAACCTAGGGCGCACATTTGTGGGCACCCGGGTGGGTGAGTGCTCCCTTGATGGTATGAGTGTCGTAGGAACTCTCGCTCATCCGCTTCGAGTCCTTTCCCCCAGTTGTCGCTCCCCCTCCACCCCCCGCCGCCCGCCCCCAGTGCCTTGTCATTCATCTTCAGTGCCCAGCAAAGCCAGAGTGGGCCCTGCCCACCCCCTTTGCCACTCCCTCCCCTCCCCTCCAAACAGAGCAGAGCTCTTCTATCCTACTCCCCTCACCTGCCTTGGACGTGCCAAAATCATTTATTTATTTACCTCATGACCTTTGCACTTCCAGTTTTCTATGTTAGGAGTTGTCCATAAGATTTTTTTTTTTCTCCTTTGTCACTCTCATACTGCTCCCTCCTGTGGTTCAGCGTCTTGTTTTTGGTGAGGCCTGCCTTGACCACCCTTTTCCCTAGCTCCAGTCATTCTAGTTCACGAGTTCCTTTGGTTTTGCTTCTGTCACCTACTCTGGTTTGACGCTATCTGATTTATTGCCCTGTTGATTTTCTGTAGCCTTGTGAATACGGGTAGGTGGCTGGTATATTCGCTCTTTTCAGTACTGTCAGCTCATTGAATGAGCAGTAAGACGGCGTCCCTGCCAGCCTGTTGTCTCTGCTTTGTACATTTTTGTTGATGACTTTTAACTTGTGAAACTTGTGAGCAAACAGATTCTTATTCTCATTTTGTGAAATATATTTAATGTTTTTTAAAATCTTTTTCTAATAGCTGTCAGAACAATTTATGATAAACATTTTTGATTTTGGTAAGAGTTTTGCTCCAGCCTCCTCCCACACATTCAGGAGTTATCTACTGAATTCTGCATTATCTAGGTCATGCTTTCTGCTGGGCTCTAGGGACACAAAAGAGATAGCAACAGGGTACCTTCCCCCAGAGAACCCAGGAGCCCCAGAGAGCAGGCTGGCATGCACACAGTTCTAGGACAGGATATGACACCAGCTATAGTGAAGGGTCTGTGCCCTAGAAATGGAGGACAGGGAGTGGGGGTGCTGGTGAGCCTTGAGCAGGGACAGACACAGAAAATGAAGGCAAGATCAGCAGGGAACTTTGCCTGGTGGGGAGCAAGTGTGGGGTTGTGGAGTGGTAGAGATCCCTGGAGCTCCAGAACTTCTCTCAGCAAGTTTTGTAAAAGCTAGGATTCCAAGTTTGTATCGGGACTCTGATTTTCCAATGTTGGCAATAGCTAATTAAAACTAGTTACTTGGTGCCAAGCCAAATGCAGACCTCATGCGGCACTGCTAACCTCCTGAGCAGGCTGTGTGGGAGGGAGAAGCAGTGAGGAGCAGGAACAGTAGCCTGAGGCCGGGAGAGTTAGGCCCTGCTCTCCCAGATACCAGCCAGGTACTCATCTGAGTATGGCTGGCACTCCGTGAATGGCAGCTCTGAAACCAGGCTTCCCAGAAGGAGAACCCAAGGCTCACAGTGCTTCAGCAGTCTGCTTCAGCACAAGCAGCTGGTGAGAGCCCGAACCCAGACCACTCCTAATCTACAGTGCTCAGCTCTATTTGTGTTTGGCTTTCAGTTTGTTCTGGAAGAACAATAGCCAATCTATAAATGTTTCCCCCTCCCTTTCAGAAGAGTCCTGCATGGTTAAAAATAATTGTCTTTTTTGGGGTATAATCTCCAGAGAGCTTTGGTTTTCCTGAGGTTTTAATTTGCAAGGTGCCAGGACTTTATAATAACTTGTTAACAGATGAAAATAGCTTTGTTCTGTCCCTTAAAGAAACGGTCAAGGGTATACTTGAATATGTCAGTTTCAAATGAAAAATAAAATTTTAACTTTCTGCATAAAGAAAAATGTCAAAAAGCAATTGTTAATGAGCAAACCAATTTTGAAAAAAATATTATATATAAGATAAAACAAAAATCCTGTGATTTGTCGGTAGGGCTGCTGTTTTTGTATAATTATGAAGTTAGCTTTTACACCTGGCTAGGAAGGTGGCAATTCATTTTTTAAAAATTTCTTAATGATTTGTACTTGACCACTATGTGAATTGATTTCAACAGCAGTCTGTAAATTTAATTGTTTGTGATGGGGAATTTCAAATATGTTCAGAAATAAACAGCTTAATATCAGTATCTACAGGTTTGAACTCTGGCAGACTTGTTTCATCCCGGATCTCAAAGTGCATAAAGGCTCCCCAAGTGTGAGGGTTAGATTCTAAAGCAGGACCTAAATATCACCACAAACTTCTCCGTCCACTTCTCTAAAGACACTGGTTCTGGACGGGCGGTGGTGGTGCACACCTTTAATCCCAGCACTTGGGAGGCAGAGGCAGGCGCATCTCTGTGAGTTAGAGGCCAGCCTGGTCTACAAAGTGAGTTCCAGGCCAGCTTCCAAAACAATACAGAGAAACCCTATCTCGAAAAACCAAATAAACAAACAAACAAAAAGACAGTGGTTCTCTTACGCTTTTAAAAGCAAAAGTTCTTTCATAGCATCAAGGGACCAGTCAATATGCAAATTGTCTCATGTATTTTATATTAAGGTGTGGAATTCAATAGTCAAATGTCTCATATATTTTATAGTTTCTGTATTCACTTGAAAGGAGAACCAAGGTTATGTCATGATTACTGGTTGATGTCTTTTTAATTCTCTTCCTTTGTTGGCTTTTGGTTTTTGGTGTTTATTATTGGTATTTTTTTTTTCTTCCTTCAGGCATGATCTCACATTGTAACCCAGGGTGACCTCAGACTCACTATGTAGCCCAGGCTGGCTTCAAATCCATGGCAATCCTCCCCATATTGCTAGAATTACAGGCAGAAGCTACCACACTCTGCGAAGTTTCTTTAGTTTGTTGCTTTCCTCTGCTTCTCTTTTGTTTTTCTTGTAGTTTACTTGTGGAAGCAGCTGGTGGTTTGGGGCACCTCTGTGATTGGAGTTCACTCTTGCTATCTCTATGCTATAGTATATATAGTGTTTCTATTTCCTGAGAAGTAGTAGTTGAATCTAGATGACACTCAGATTGAGGGTGAACTTAGGTCAAAGTGCCTTCTCAGGTCAGCCGAGCTCTCACCTAGAGGTGTCCTGGGGATGTGTACTCCCCTCTGTTCTACAGATGAGTGTAGTTGCATGGCCCTGGATAAGTGACTGGCCCACCATGAGGCTGACTGGAGACCTGACCTTAACCTGTTCCACACTGCCTTCCCATATTTATCCTTTTACTTAACTTTGCTTTTAATTGACGTTGCTTGGGCTGTATAATGCATCAGGGTTCAGAAATAGCCAGGTATATCCTCTACCACTGAGGGATTCGGAGTAGAGCTGATGGGCTTTCCACACTAAATGAAAGGAGCACTTGGTGCTGTTTAAAGGGAAAGGCCAAGTAGGAAACCTTGCATGAGAAGCAGGTACTTGAACTAGGTTTTGAAGGAGGGTGAATGCTGGCCAGAGGAGCAGAAGGGACAGAGAGGTCAGGCAGATGGAGCTGCTGAGCAGAGGCCTGAGGTGTGCTGTCACCTGATGTGTCTGGTGGCCCAGAACAGGACAGAGGGCTTGCAGTCTGCCCTTAATGCTAAGGACTTGGGTCAAAATCTCAAAGTCACTATCAAAAGGATTCAGACAGGCAGGAGAAGGGTAGGATTGCTGTATGTTTCCAACACATCTCTCTTTTCTAATCCCTTACTATAAACAAATACAGATCTACAAGAAGCTACGAAATCCCACCTACCTTTCGCCTAGTTTTCTCCATTGATTGTGTATTTATATAACTCCAGTGTAGTACCATAACAGGAAGCTGGCATTGCTACAGTATGTGTGCAGTTCAGTGTCATTTTATCATGGGCAGATTCCTGAACCACCATTGCCACATAGCCTTCTTAGCATCCCCAAGGTCTCCTGTAGTCCTTTTGTAGCTGCCTAACTCACCAGTCCCCACCAAGCATAACCCCTGACAACTGAGATCTACAGTTTTGTCATTTGAAGAATCCTTATGTGCTTATAAGGTGACCTTTCAAGGATCACTTACTTCAGTAAGTACAGCTGTCTCCCAGCATCCTGGGAGAGTGGATCCAGAAATCTCAGATGAAACCAGCCGGTGGTGACTCATGCTTTTAATCCCAGCACTTGGGAGGCAGAAGCAGGCAGACTCTGTGTTCAAGGCCAGCCTAGTCTACAGACTGAGTTCCAGGACAGCCAGGACTATTTCACAGAGAAATCCTGTCTCAAAAAATCAAAACAACACCCCCCACCAAAAAAC